TAAAACATGCATAAAAGGAAAAATCAAAAAAATAAAAGCAGTAATTTTCTGATACCCACAGAAAAGTGGACGGGTAGATCCGCCTACGAAACTCTGGAGTAGGGTAACATCAATAAGCTAAGTGACAAATTTTTACATTTTATCCTATATATATATATATATATATATATATATATATATATATATATATATATACAAATATAAAGTTTGTCACTTAGCCGATTGGTGTTACCATCAACATCCTGACTCCAGAGTTTCTTACCAATTACTCCTCCGTCCACTGATCAAAGGTTATCCGCAATTGACTGTTCAAATTTATCGTTTTTTAGTGTCTGTTCGTGTGCGTCCTCGCGCACATGGACCCATCCACACACACACACACACACACACACACACACACATATATATATATATATATATATATATATAAGTGAACATTGAAGTCAACACTTAGAGGCGACAGGCTGTTTCATGCTAGACGCAATCGTCAGGCCACATTTACACTCGCTCTATGTCTGGTATTGAGCACTTTATCCCATAAATATAGAACACCTTAAGAGTATATTTCTTCCTATATATATATATATATATATATATATATATATATATATATATATATATATATATATATAATTGATCGAGTCTGAAACCTCAACAGAATGCAGAAAACACTGGACTGCCGTTACGTCCTATATTTGGGACACATCAGCAGTGCGCATCCACTACCGAGAATTGAAACCCTGACAGTTAGGGGTTGTCAAGCAAAGAAGAGATTGCAAATCAGACTCAATGTAGCGCCGCTCGCTCACATATTCTGCTGGGTTTCTCTCTAACCATAGAGCCACGACTACTCTCACCAAGCCGCTCACTCTAGAGCATTAGAAGCCGGTTCAATACACATATATATATCAATATCTGGGGAGGGGGGTTTCTGGGGGGGGATTTTTGTCCCTGCCCCGGCGCACGCGCTCGGATCCCCACATTAAACCGACCTTGTGTCACATCTCTTTCTACTGGAGTGGGGGTTAAGGGTAAACACAGTGTTATCGCAATTTGATAAGTTTTTCCTTTCTTGAAGGGCGTATACATTTTTTTTTGCAGAGTCTGTCTATATAAATTAACAAACTAAAAAAAAAAACAATAACATTAACATTTTTTATAAAATTCATATGCATAGTAACTATGAGGTAGAAAAATTTTCACTTAGAAACATTATAAAGAAATCCACATCTCCAGTGGACAAAAAAACAAGAGAATTAAATTATCTATTCTAAAAAATTTAAAAAGGCTAATCTCATTGTTAAAAATAATAATTCACCTGCAAGATCCAAATTACAGAGAACTAATAATATTTACGAATTCACATGTTCCTTTATAGGTACCTCCAAAAAATTCGTATACCTAAGGTTTAAATGTATTTTTCATAAAGGAAAAATTCTTTTCGAAGCTTTCCAACATTTTGACGCACAAAAAAAATATTTTTAATTATGGCTAAAAGTTTTGGTAGCATTATTTTTTATCAAGCATTTAATTTTCGCTTTGTAAATATAGTCTTCACTTAAAAACTTAATAACCTTTTTTAAAATTAAAGAAAAATGAAAAAAAATGGAAAAACTAAAAGAAAAATGCAAACAATTCTTCTAAAAATTCTTTATTCATCGAAATTTTTTTTTCAGATAATAATCTCCTTAATGTATATTATATTATTTATTTGATAATTAGATAGTTTATTGCAGTTTTTATTTTACGATTTGGAGCAGATTTTTCAAAAGTTGGCAGTAGTTGTGAAAAAAAAAATGATGATTTAATTTCTCCAAGGAGTCCTGCTTATAAGTAATATAAAACAAGTTGAGTCCTCTTTGAAATTCTAGAAAATTTCCTAAAATTAATTTCTGAGGTGCGGGGTAACAGATGTAAAAAAAATATTTTTAACAAGATTTTCTAAAAAATAAAAATTTCAAAAATAAATTATTTGATTTTTGGAAGAATTTCCAAATTAATGAGTTTTCTCCCTGAAACTGCTACACACTAAAATGGCGAATTATTGGAGGTGCCTACTTTAGGAACTATGTTCCTGACGAATCCAGATTCGTAAATACTAGGTTGGCATCTCGATACCACCTTTTCCCTGCCGAAACAGTTAAATGTAGCCGTTTTTTCTACTCCAACAGCTTCTCATCTCGACAGTGGAACTCCCTTCCTCTTACTTTCTTCCTTGATAGCTATAATCTTCAAATATTCAAATGTAATGTCAATTGACATCTTCCGATGCCTTGACCTTGATCCCCGTCCTTCTCTGTATCCTTTCCTCAATCACCCCCTCTTTATTCTTGCTCTCGCTTCCTGTAACTGCTTGTGTGCTAGTGGTACTCTTGCCTTGCTTGGAGTGATATGCTTAAAAAAAGATTCACCCTTTACAAGGCCCGGGGACCCCTCGAGATAGAGGGTTACATTAGGAGGCCATTTGTGCATATAGGACTGGAAGATAACAGTTAATCTTAGCCTTGAACAGGTTAAGATTGTAGTGATCGGGGAAACATCCTCTTGGGAGTCGTTCCATAGGGCAGTAACTCGAAGCTGATCGAGTGAAGCTTACTTCTTACTGATGATATACGGAGGGAATATGGGTGGTTTTCCACCATGTAAGTGGCATGACGTGTTTTTGCTGTGAACATTTGCCTCGGTGAGACCAGAGAATGTAGCACATCCGAGCACTTTCCGTGGCAGTAACGGTAGAGCAGCGAGAGGCTCCCTGTGGGAGGGTTAAGGTTAGGGTTAGCCATTGCGATTTTGGGGTGATATACTTTAAAAAAAACATATTGGATATACTACAACATGCTTAACAAGAAGACTCACGTTACATCTCTCTGACCATAGCTCAATTAGGTCTAAATTTAAATACACATGGAGGCCTACCAAACCTTATCAGAAACATACGCGTTAATAATACAAATATAATAACATCATGCATAAAAAAGGCTAAAGTATTAAAAGCATTATTAAATAAAAAGAAGAAGCCAACACTCAATAATATCAACTATGAACACGGCCACAATGTGGTGACCGTGTTTTGAAAATAAAACATTCCTATAATTCTATATGCCTACATAAAAGTATCTATATATTCAGTTAAAAGTAAAATAAAATTCATCCTTGATAATGGCTAAAAGTATAGCCGAAATCGCTTGGCTATATAAAACATTCGAACAATTTTTATATAATTCATGCCTTGAAAAGAAAAAAAATATAAGACATGAAAAATTATATAAAAAAGTGAACCACAGTGTATATATATATATTAATGTTATACGTTATTTATATAGACACAAATATTTAAGTAAATGCTCTAAAACAGTATTAACATTTACTGGCCTGAACGTCCGAGATATTTTCATAGAAAATATGTATTCTCCGACAGGAATCGAGCCTGTATCCTACACGGAACAGTCATATAGCCTAACGTGTTATACCAGTTTAGCTACGAAGGAGCGTCTGGTTAGCAAGGTCGATTTTACTGCTTTTAAACTACGTGATCTTCCTCGAACGTTCATATCTGCGTATCTTAACGTAAACAAATGACGTCAAACATTACGAAATGGACAAAATCCGACAATTATTTTAATATATTTTATTGCTATACCTTATTTATGTATACACAAATATTGAAGTAAATGATCTGTTCATAATAAACAGTATTAACAAAATTTACCGACCTCAATATCCGAGAAATTTCCATAGAAAATATGCGTGCTCTGAGCATTTACTTAAATATCTGTGTCTATATAAATAACGTATAATAATGAAATATATTAAAATAATTGTCGACTTAGTCCACTTATATATATATATATATATATATATATATTGCACACACACACACACATATATATATATATATGTGTGTGTGTGTGTGTGTGTGTGTGTGTGTGTGTGTGTGTGTGTGTGTGTGTGTGTGTGTGTGTGTTTTGGGCACTTCAGCGTGGTGTAATGGTTAGCAAGCTTGTCTCACTAAAACGGTTACGACTGAATAGTGAGTTCGAACCTCACAGGGTGCTCCACACACTCGGCCGTGTGCCACATCTAAACAACGCTTAGAAAATCATTAGGGCACCTCGAGGTGGTGTATGGTCAGCAAGCTTGTCTCGCTAGAATAATTACGCCTGAGTAGTGAGTTCGATCCGCACTGGGCGCCACCAACTTTCCGCATTCTGCCACATCTAAGCTATGCTTGTAAAATCAAAATTTCTATGTGTGTGTGTAACGCAAGGATTGAGTTTAGACACCAACAATAGTCTATCAGGTACTAGAAGATCATTTTTTTTAACGTAAGCAGTCTTTGAAATTACAGGGAGATCTTCATCAAGCATCAAGAGTAATAAATAACATTAAGGGAACAATATATATTTAATATAAAATTATAACATATACATGCTTGTGTATATATATATATATATATATATATATATATATAAAATATATTTAAAATATGATTCCTTTGGATAATGTGTTGTGTGTGTATGCATTTGTGTGTTTTTCATACACATTTTTGTTATCCATCTGATGAAGCCGTTAAAGGAGAAACGTATTATCGGATATTATTTTCGGGACAGATATTTCATGAACGTTTTTCTAAATGTCAATAACTTATAACGCTATCAGTATTACACACCCAAATTTATTACATATATATATATATGTGTGTGTGTGTGTGTGTGTGTGTGTGTGTGTGTGTGTGTGTGTGTGCATACGTTGAAAGAGGGAAAAATGGCTGAGAAATATTCGGCATATCTGTGCCCGTGTGTGTTGATCTTCCTCGTTAACTTCCTACCAGCTGCAAGAGAATAAATAAATACGCGACGACTGGGAAAATAAATAAAGATTCTTTTAAATATAGCAAAAAAAAAAAGGCATTTTTTTTTTCAAAATACTGAAAGAAACAGTAGGCGGGATATCTTATGGATTGAATTCGGTGGCAACCCTCCACGACTTCTCATCAAGTAATGAATATAATATCCCGGCGTCTTCTTTCGATTTGATACACGCATTTCTTTTGTGGCCACAGTCGAGTGACAAGCACTTATAAAGTATGCAGGTGTTTACAGGTGTTCCTATACACCAGGTAAGTCCTGTCGCTCGGCAGTGTTAGCCTGGTGCACGAGTGCGTGGTACGAAAAACGCATCATTAAACAATTTGCGTTGAAATCAAATACCGCCTCTCTCTCTCTCTCTCTCTCTCTTTATCTATCTACCTCCCTTCATCCTCTCTCTCTCCCTATCTCCCTTTCCCGCATTGGTTCTCTCTCTCTCTCTCTCTCTCTCTCTCTTTCTCCCAACCTTCTCTCTCTATCTGCCTTTCTCACCCTAGTTCTCTCTCTCTCTTCCCACTCCGACTTTCTATCTGTATCTCCCTTTCTCACCCTGGTTCTCTCACTCTCTCTATCTCCCTTCCCTAACTTGGTTCTCTCTCTCTCTCTCCCGACATATACATATATATATATATATATATATATATCCTTACTCACCCTGCTTCTCTCTCTCTCTTTCTCTCTCTCTCTCTATCTATTTATCTATCTATCTATCTGTCTGTCTGTCTGTCTGTCTATCTATCTATCTTTTTCTCGCCCCGGTTCTCTATGTCTCATCCCTTCTATCTATCTATCTATCTATCTATCTATCTATCTATCTATCTATCTATCTATCTCCATTTCTCACTCTGATTCATTTGCTCACGAGCTATCTATCTATCTCCACCGATTCGCTAAGAATGATCATACCATGATGAAAAAAAAAAAACTAACTTAATAAAAATGTTTTAGCATCAAAATCTTTATCTTATTATTAAGAGGAAAGACCAAAGGATTTTTTATTATTAATTTTTTTTTTTTTTATCCATTCTAGAAGGTTACAAAAATGTTTAAAAAGTTCATAATTTTCTTTGTTTTGTTTTTATCCATTCGAAATTTTGGTTAAAAATCTTGCTTTCCTTGTGTCATCAGGTGGCCCGTAAATTAGTATTAAAAAAAAAACAAAAAAAAAAACACGTTGATTTGGAAATTCTTGCAAAAATCAAATAATTGTCGGATTTTAATGAAAAATTCTGAACTTATTCACCAATGAATGAAATTATTTCAGAAATGTTTTATTTTTAGAAAATTTTGTTAAAAACATTTATTTTTTTTACATCTGTTACCCTCACCACCACCACTTATTTAATTATACGAAATTTCGAGAAATTAATTTTTCTATCGCTTAATGATTATATCAGTTATATATAGAACACCTTAAAGAATTTAAATCACCTTTTTTTTTGTAAAAAAAGAACCCGAAGGACTTTTCTGTATCGTAAAATAAAAATGCAATAAAACTAAGATATTATTTAACTAGAAAAGCTTTTATAAATGTCTATCTATAAAAGGCAGGATGTGTGTGTGTGTGTGTGTGTGTGTGTGTGTGTGTGTGTGTGTGTGTGTGTGTGTGTGTGTGTGTGTGTGTGTGTGACGAATGCACGGCCGCAATTTGCGCCAAAATTTACATGCACATGCCCCAAGTTAGCGGGAAGGCCAACACCGACATTGCATTTCCCTACTCCCATCGATAGTGGAAATAATCGATTTTTTCATGCTTCTACGGCACTTTTCATGTAGTTTGCGGCCATTTTCTACTGGCCAGAGTGAGAGCCTATAGCTGGCTGCCACGAATAGGCAGGAAGATTCTATTGGCCAGCGTGAGAGCCAACAGATGACTGACACGAATGTTAACTAACATGCTAGCATGCAAAAAAATCGATAGATGCATTCGTCACAAGTGGGAAAAATTTAAATCTGCATGGCACTTTACTCCAATTGGCTCATTCGCTTGCTTAAACTCAACGTTGATTCTGATTCCACAGAACTGGGTTGGGTGTGAAAAAACATTTGTTGTTAACATTCTTTTTCATTCGGTTTTTTCCAATTACGAGTCCTTTTTAAAGCTGATCGTTTTGTGTTCATTTTGTTTAGTTCTCTTTTCGTAACAGATTTAATGTTTAGTATAGAGCTTAGAAAAAATTCGCAGTGTGAGATATACAAGAAATAAGGCATGTAGCAACATCAGCACAGCAAAGGGCACTCCTTTAAAGGCAAGGCCGGGCAAAAATATTTTAAGTCAAGTGATAGCGATTGCTGTATGAGTCGTACGATTTTTTAATCAAGCACGGGCAACGCCGGGCCATGCTGCTAGTATATATATATTATGGATACTGTTGTTTTAAGGGGAAAAAACGTTCTTTCGATAAGTAATTAATATTTTAAAAAGAATTTTGATTTTCTGTGTGTGTGTTTGTGTATAAGCATTAGAATCTTTGTAAATACTGATGTCCATATACGATATTATCAGAACATAAAAGCGAAAGCTATAGTAAATTTTAAGCCAATTTAGATAAAATTCAATAAAACATTAGAATATTTTCATTTTTAGTTAAAAAAATTATATGAAAAAAACGCTCATGTTATATTCCTCAAGTAATTTTTACAGATACATTTCCCGTAAAAAAAAGTTAAACTTACAGCTGTCAGTCAGGCTGTCAAATTGTCAAAAGTTAAATAAACACTTACCTCCGTATTAAAAATTGCATTTTTTTCGTTGTTATAAGCTAAAAGCAAATAATAATTTTTAAATCAGATTAAACTAATATTCCTTAAATAAAGTTAATAAATGATGTAATGGAATAACTTTTCATCCCCATAAGTAACTAAATTATAGGTAGTAACTATATATAACTATAAGTAGCAGTAAGTCAACGGACTACAGAGTCTAGCTGCGACCTGTTCCAACTAAACAGTCGAACTCTCTGCCTTCGGGCAGAGAGGAACCTGGACGAGGCTCTGTCGTAGGGCAGAGTCTCGTTCGGGGAGGTAGACTGCTCCTGAACCTGTTTATACGGGTTCGAAAGGGAATATTTTTAGCCGAGCCTACGGGCTCGGAGAACCCACGTTAAACCGGCCTTGTGCCACATGCAACCCTCGTGATGTGGGTAGCTAAATATACTAGCTGGGATCTGTTTCAGCAAGACGGTCGAACTCTATACCTTCAAGCAAAGAGGAACCCGGACGAGGCTCTGCCTAGGGCAGAGTCTCGTTCGGGGAGGTAGACTGCGCCTGAACCTGTTTATACGGCTTCGAAAGGGAATATTTTTGGCCGAGAATACGGGCTCGGAGGACCCACGTTAAACCGGCCTAGTGCCACTTGCAACCCTCGGGGTAGCTAAATATTCTAGCTGGGATCTGTTGAGTACAACTCAGACTTACGCGAGAACTACCGACCTTCCAATAGTAGCACTCCCTACTGGATTGACTTGCGACAATCGTGCACATTACTGTTACCTTATTTCTTATTGTACTGTTTTTACAATAAACCTTTACTTATTTTATCCACCGTTTTGTCAAGTATATATTCCTATTAGCACGGAATATAACAATAAATATACATAATACCCGACACCGACAGTATAACTCGGAGTTTCATGATATATATATATATATATATATATATATATATATATATATATATATATATTCCTATATGATAGTTTTAAGGAATACTTTATTTATGAGTCAAAGTGCTCAATATCAGAGATAGAGCATATATAAATTCAAAATATAAAAGTGGACAGTGGGATTAAGATTTTGATAAAAGCAGTGAATAAGCATACATTTTTATCAATTTCTGTCAGCATATCGTGTGCATTTGGGTGTGATGCACGGGCTAGGTATACCCTAAACAGACCTGGGTGTCAAGATGGCTACATTGGGTGTTGTATATTTGTACCCCTTCGTTTTTTGGGGGTTTTTTTTTTTTGTTTTTTTTTTTTTTTGTTTTTTGTTTTTTGTTTTTTTTGCCGTGCCTCTTGCTTAATAATAATTAAAATAATTATAATAATAATTCAGTCCCGAACCAGATCCTATCACTGTCACATAATCAAAGATAGAACTAACCCGAAATGCAGGATTTTCGGAAAATAATTTTTAAAAAAACTGTCCACCATATTATCTCAGGATGACCGGAACTAGCAAATAATGAATATACCCACATACATAACAAGGTAGAGACATATTTGCACTGGAATATATACAAGGAGCACAAAATCATAACCACTGAGAGTTGGTATCAGCACCAACCACAGAATTCTTAAAATAACGATGTAACTATCCTCTGGGATATGCCAATTCAAACTTACAGGGAAATAAAAGCCAACAGAGCTGATATTATCATAAAAGACAAGAAATTCCAGAAGTTTATGCTTATTGACATAGTAGTACAATCTGAGAGAAACACCTCCATGAAAATTATCGAGAAATTGTCCAAATACAAAGGACCTGGAGATCGAGATTAACAGGATTTGGGGAATGAAGACTGAGACTGTATCGATAGTAATCGGAGCTCTGGGCCTCGTGAGTAAAAGAATGGACAATTTTACTAAAAGTGTCCCAGGTAACATCAACATACAAGTTGGCCAGAAGATCGCCCTACTAGGAACAACATATATATTAAGAAAGGTGCTATCAATTAAATGACACTTTTCCCATAGGGCCTAAGGACCATAGTTTGCAACCGGCTCTACAGGATACAAAGCAGGAAACATACCATGCACAAATAATAATAATAATAATAATAATAATCATAAAATAGTAAATCTGATCAGTTTGATAAGGTCAAAATGCAGATGATTCCGAAAACAACCTTCAGTCTGTCGTTAATTGGGGCAAATGATGGCTTGTTAATTTTAACGCCTCCAAAACAAAACTGCTCTCTAGTAATCATCTGAGAGACCCCTTTCTGCCTGCCATCACCATGACTGATGCTAACCACCAGGTGAGTGACACGGTGCGCCTTCTCGGGCTAATAGTCTCAGCTGACATGAAGTGGAAACAGTATATTGAATCCATTGCTAAGGAATGTTGGTTCACTTTATTGTGCTAGACAATCTTTCTCTCAAGTTGCCCAGAAAATAGGAAAATCGCCTATACTAAGAAAAGTGCTATCAATTAAATGACAATTCTCCTATAGGGCCTAAGGACCATAATTTGGAGCCGACTCTACAAGATGCAAAACAAGAAGCATAACATAAACAAATGATGATAATTCAATCCTGATTACCAACGCAACAAAAGTAAAACAAAATTGCATTAATCATGTCCGCTATAATTTCCTTTGCTTTTGCTAAACTTGGATGATTTTTCTGAATATTATCGAATGTTGACTGATTTGTCGATTTGCCACGTTAATTTCTCAACGATAATTTTTCTCTTTGTATAAAAACATGCTTGGTTTAATAATTCTCATTTTGCTTTTGATAAAGCTTCTGAAGCAACGAAGCGCCTTGCAAAACATTTCTTCGTCTTTTCATTTTATCTTATTTGTATTGTTTAAGATAACCAATAAAAATATTAAAATAAATATAAAAAAAAATATAACTGTAATAACAAAAACACTAAGAGATACTAAGTTTAAATTTAAAATACATCAGACGAAAAAAAAAATATATCAGACGTAAATAAAATACACCAGACGTAAATAAAATACCTTAGACGTAAATAAAATACATCAGACGTAAATAAAATAATCAGACGTAAATAAAATACACCAGACGTAAATAAAATACTTTAGACGTAAATAAAATACATCAGACGTAAATAAAATATATCAGACGTAAATAAAATAATCAGACGTAAATAAAATACATCGGATGTAAATAAAATACATCAGACGTAAATAAAATATCTCATACGTAAATAAAATACATCGGACGTAAATAAAATACATCA